GTGCAGTTGCTTGTACAAACTGCAAGGCTGGGAAAAAATGCCAAAAATGCCAAAACTCGAAAATTCAATAAGCGGAGAAGGGAAGTTGAATGCGCGCAACCCGAAGAGAAAAGTGGAAGCTCGTCTCTGTTCTTACTGACAGCAGTGGGGTCAAAAAGACTGGTCTTGATCTCTGGTATGCAATTGTTATCATTTTCAAAACCACGATCAGGAAATATCTTCCATGTGCTTGCTTGCTCGTATCCATTTCTGGTCGTGCTTGGCCTGAAGAAATCTTTCGCACTGATTGGTGCTGGATCGACATTTTTCCTGGGTGCCTTCCAGGAACAAAGTTGGCTGTTATATGTGGTTGGCTTGTTTAAAGTGTACTGCTGCCTCTGACAAGAGAAGGGTGTTGTCACATGACTGCAGCATGAGCTAAAGGCTGTCATACACAGTCTCCTGTGAGAACCCAACCATCAGTCTTGTTGAGGCATACCCAAGTGTTATAAAGTTAAGGGTACCGTCTGCTTTTTTTCGATTTTTCGATTTTACTTCCGATTTTGATAAAACTCACACCCTTTTATTAGGGCCCCTTCCCATTGCCTTTGGTCGATTCTTTTCGAAATCGCCCGAACGGTTTTTGAATTATTGTCAAAAAAACGAAATTCTTCAAAAAAAAAAAATCTGAAAATGCAGCGAGGGGGGCAAATCCTCACGTCTTCAGAAACGATAAGACATTCAACTTTATTTGATTTTTGCACAGAACTATATAGCTACAACTTGTTCGATAGCGTTTTCTCGATTTCGACCATATATATTTGTGAATTTTTGAAGTAGGGAACTTAAAGACAAAAAAGGTAAAAATTTTCTTACACTGACCACTTTTGCAAAAAGTACAGGCAAAAATTGCGAAAGCGCTCTCGAACAAGTTGTAGATATTTTATTTTTCTACAAAATGAGCCATAATATGTTAATTTTGGACATAAATTGCGCCCGTGAGGATTTACCCCCCCCCCCGAAAGGTGAGTACCGAGATATCGGCATTTTACGTCATCTTTCCAAGTCTATCTTGGTATCAACAAAACAAGGTATAAGATTACTCTTCCTACATCATAATCCTCTATCATCTACCTGTATTCCGAGGTCTTGCGGCAGTGCCAGCACGTAACGGTTTCTCAAAATCTTACATAAAGTGCAGAGTGGTGGCAGTGATCTGGGGTCTGTAGGCCTACATTGACCATTTTTATTTCATTCTGATTTCATGTCTGACTAGAACTATCTTTCTACTATTATGTGCAGAAATTGAGAAGTTGACCTTACTTTTTTTGGTGTATATTTTCCAAAGGTGACTATTTTAACACCCTAATAGGAGATTTTGAAAACATATGTCACTTTTACAAGAACCGCATGAAAATATTGCAAATCCTTATTGCAGCATATAATAGAACTATTATTCAGCTACAAAATAGGCTATAATACGTTAAAATCGGACCGAAAATACGTGTGCTATGCATAAAAATGTGAAGGATCTAATAATCCCAATCTTTTTCCTTTTTATTATGTTTACATTTTACATGACAAATAATGTACAGAATACTTGTATTTGATATATTTATCTATCATTTACCTATTATTGTTGCTCTAATGGGGTTTTACAACGCATAATATTTGTCGAAAGAATAACTTTTCTCCAGTCGGTCGGGTACCAAATGCATACTTTTCCCCGCGCGCCGGGCCGTACTGGACCATGAAAATCGTCTTTTTAAATCTGCGGAATAACTCTACGGGGTCACGTAGCCAAATTTCACTCTCAGACCCCGTGGAAAGACGAAAAACAATTACATGGCGATGTGAAAGTATGTATAAAAGGTATATGAGCACATATAGATCATTTTCGTGTACCCCATGACCTTTTGTTTATTAATATTGTTACTTCCGTTTGTTTCTTTGTTTGTTTGTTGATTGTTTATTTGTTGTTTGTTTGTTGGTTGGTTTGTGTTTTCTAATATTTCTAAAAGTTATGAACACATTTTAACGAGATTTTAACCAAAGCTGAGTTGTAACCTAACTTAGACTCTTAATGTAGTTTGGTGGTGATACGGACCATGGTTTGGATCCAAGATTTTTTTTTAAACTCGAAAAGTTATGAACAGATTTGAATTAAATTTTTACCTAATTAATATTCCATAAAATTTTGGTGGTGATCTGGAACATTTGGCAAAACTACCCCCTATTGGAGGGGGGTAGGTTTGCATTTTCGAAATGTTTTGCTCATAGATCAGACTAACTATGTATGAATCAGTCAGCTTAAAAAAATTGATCAGAATCTCATTTGACATATTTTTGTTACTTATTTAAGATTCAGAATTATTAAAGATTGAATTTGAGAATGAATATTCATAATGACTTATCTTCAAAATATTCTTTCAAAACACGTAAATAAAAGCATGGCTTAAATGACAAATAGTAAAAAACACGATCGCAGATTAAGTTAAGGAGATAAAACCGACTGGCTCCTAACTCCCCCATTTCCTTTATCTCTTACAGTGACTTCTCTCCTGACA